GGGGCCACATCCTTGACCATCTGAACTTGAAGGGCCAGGCCTGCAGTGTCTGTGACCAGCGTCACCTTAACCTCTGCAGCCTCATGTGGCACACGCTGTCCCATCTCGGCATTTCAGTCTTCTCCTGCTCTGTCTGTGCCAACAGCTTTGTGGACTGGCATCTTCTAGAGAAGCACATGGCTGTGCACCAAAGCCTGGAAGATGCCCTCTTCCACTGCCACTTGTGCAGCCAGAGTTTCAAGTCAGAGGCTGCCTATCGCTACCACGTCAGCCAGCACAAATGTAACAGTGGCCTTGACGCACGGCCTGGTTTTGGGCTACAGCACCCAGCTCTCCAGAAGCGGAAGCTGCCAGCAGAGGAGTTTCTGAGTGAAGAGCTGGCACTGCAGGGCCAACCTGGGAATAGCAAGTATAGCTGCAAGGTCTGTGGCAAAAGATTTGCCCACACAAGCGAATTCAACTACCACCGGCGGATCCACACGGGCGAGAAGCCATACCAATGTAAGGTGTGCCACAAGTTCTTCCGAGGCCGCTCGACCATCAAATGCCACCTCAAGACACACTCGGGGGCCCTCATGTACCGCTGCACAGTCTGTGGACACTACAGTTCCACCCTGAACCTCATGAGCAAGCATGTCGGTGTGCACAAAGGCAGCCTCCCACCCGACTTCACCATCGAGCAGACCTTCATGTACATCATCCATTCCAAAGAGGCAGAAAAGAACCCAGACAGTTGACTGGGTCCCACAGAGCCAGGGGGAGCACCCAAGCAGCGGCCAGGACGTTGATTTCTAAGGGCTGTTGGTCCCTCCCCAGCTGAAGTTATAATTTTGCCTTGGTAGGAATTCTGTTCTGTGTTTGTGTTTAAAGAAGAAAGAAGAGGAAATAGCACACAAGCTGTTACTGTTTTTGAGACGCAACAGCCCTGTCACATTTACCTCCATACCTGTTCTTGCCCATGAAGGGCTGCATTTTTCATTCTTTTGAGGCTGATTTTGGGATCTAGTCAAGCAGTTGGTATCAACCAGATCCCTTCCCCAGCCTCTCTAGTTTTAGTTTACTGATAGGTTTTATGCTGCTAAGAATCCAACCAACAGCCTCACTGAACAGAGGAGGTGAAGGGAGCTTTTCACTGTGGGTGGTACTGCCAGGCCTCCAACTGGGATGACCAGCTTTGAGAAAGATTGTGGGGATGCGGTTGTTCAGAAAAGACAGGTCAGCAGGGCAGTCAGGTTCCAGCCTCAGCTGGGTATCAGGGATGTAGGTGTCTGCTTACTTTACGGCCCTAATCTGCTGATTGGACAGTGAAAATCTTTTGGCAGCTAGATTCACACTGGGGACAGAGCTTTCTATTTAGGTCAGAAAGCTTTGGGTTGAATCCCTGCCAGCCACAAGGGGTGCTCTGTGGTGCTACCAGAAGTGGCAGTCTGGATGGACAAGAAAGGTTTCTCTTTTCTCCTCATTTCCAAAGAAACATGATTTTGTGGAGTCGTGGGCCGGGATTTCCGGCCTGTGGGGCAGAGAGGATAGGGAACCCCTTTGATATAGTCATTTCTGTTGTGGCTACTCCTGTTGGCCGTGAGTGTCCTGGTGGAGAGGTGGGGATGTCTCTGACAGCAGCAGCCTTGCCTTAATTTATATCTGGTCTCCCACCCAGAAGTGTTTGGCCCATGGTGTAGATAAGCTGACTCCATGAGGTAGTGGAGTGGTGGACCCCGAGCCCTTCGGGATTAAAGGGACCTGGGTAGCTGATGGTGTGTAGCAGGGTGTGCGTTCTGACTGTGCTAGTCGGGTAACCTGTTTACTTTGTGCTAACAGTGCGGGAGCTTTGGCAGCTCACCTTTGACCTGCTGGAATTTATCCTGAGCTGTCGTTGCTGTGACCTCCAGGGGGTGCTGTTGGATGGCAGCTGGTTCAGGCCCTCCCTGGGTGGCTGCAGAGTGTGCCCGCCCAGCCCATGCAGCTGGTTAGCTCCACTCTTACTTGGTTTTCTAAGGGGTTTTTCCCAAAGAAGGCTTGAGGGAGAGGGCCCTCGATCTTGCATACTTACGAGGTGTCACCTCAGGAGCTCATACTACCTCACCCTGCTCAGGCAAGCCCTGGCCTCAGCCCTGACACTGCCCCTGGTGGGATTCCACAGTACCCCGGGATGTTTCACAAGCAAGTGGTTTTCATTAACTCACAAAGCCTTTTTGGACATTAATATTTATTTATTTTTGTTTTTTTATACCTATTATCCAGCATCTCTTTTGTGTAAGAGACTTTAGGAAAATGAGTTTCTCCCCAGCAAGTAGCCATATTCCAGAGATCAGTCTTGACCAGAGATTTGGAGAACCAGGAGTATAACTAAGGGACGACATGTCAAGCCTTTAAGCAAATTCTTTTATTCTCCAGATTGTCTCTAGCGTAATAAAACCAGTGAAGCCTTTAGGCCATGGGTATATGTTCTAGAAAGTTTGGACCAGTTTAATTCCAGGCCTTTCATCCCCCTTCCATCCTGTGATGGAGTAGATTGGGGATGGGGTTGAATGGAACAAGTGACATGAAGGACCTTTTTGCACAGTTTGGAAGCCTCCCGTCCTTATTTATATTGAGACGTCAAACAAACCAAAGCTCCATCCCTATTGGACCTGCTGCTTCTCCCCAGCCCTGAACTGATAAAGCCGCAGAGTAAGAGTGCATGGCTCTCTGATGGGGCGACTATTAGATGAAGGGACTTGTACAGTGGCCAGTTTAAAGGTCCACCTTAGACCATCTAAACCCACCTTATTCAGTGTCCCCTCAGGACATTCTTATCAGGAAAGCAGTGTTGAGACTCTTCATTACTGACTGGCTCCCTTTCTGACAGACCATTAGAATTTACAAAGGAGATGTGTAACAGACTACAATCAAGTGTCTGCTACATTTTCAAGCATGAGCAATCCCTCCCAAATTGTTGGTGAGGACTGATTTTTGAAATGCCGGTGTGAGAGAGGCAGTAATTACTGGAACCATCCAAGTGGCTGAGAGTGGATAAATGTGCTGGAGAAATCTTTTTCCTTAGCAGAGGGCATCATGGATGCTGGGTGGTCTGTGTACTTAAACTGAAACTGTGAAGTTTTCCCTTTTTGCCAGTAAACCAAAAAGCAGATCCTTGAAACTTTGCCCTTGAAACACGAAACAAAAAACTGCACTTCCTGATCCCCCTGGGGCTAGGTGGTTGATCAGGGTGGCCCATTTGGTCCCAATCAGATATGTCGTAGGATCAATAGCTCATGAGACTTGTTGACAAAACCCCTATATTCACACCTGAACTTCCCCATTCCTCAACCCCCCCCCAAGGTCATGTCTGCTTCCTCTGCCTCTAGCTCACCCTCTTCTGAATGGTTTTACTTGAAACACTACATTGTGGCAGAGGGCACCCGGGGATACCTGGTAGAAGGTATTCATTTTATTTTGCATTTTTAGTTGTTTTGACTTTCTGTTCATTTGATTTTGTTGCTCCCTCTCTCCTGGAGCCCAGTTTAGTACTGTCTTCTGTGTTCCTCTGAAGTTCTGTTTGAGCCTTGAATGTCCTCCCTTTTTCTTGGTATGTACTCAGGACCAGCCACATCATTTGTGGAGCTCTCTTATTCACAAATTATTAAGAATTTCAAGACGGTGATCATAGAGCATCAAACAAATATGAGGCCATTCCCAACTTGTTTTCTGAAGGGAAAATGGTAATACTTGTGTGGCCTGGGGTTAAACAGCAAAGGCTCCATGTGGCCAGAGGCAGAGATTAATATTCTGGCACTCCAGTGGCCCACTGCACTGATGCCACAGCACCCACTGGGAAGCTCTGCTAAATCTTAGTATTTGGTCCTAAATTTTATGACTCCGTGGAGTTCCCATAGTCTGTGGCTAGTTAGGAAGAAAGGAGGTGTGATGGGGTCAGGCCCAGGTGACTTTTGTAAGAACAAGGAGATGGGTAAAAGGTTTTTTGACATCCTTCTTTTCTGATCTGTGAGTACCCATTTGTCTCCAGGCAAACCTTTGGGCTTAAATATCTTTCCTAGACAGGTTTTTGCTACTGTTGAATTTTCTTCTTCCTCTGGCCTCCTGCTGTGCCCCCTTCACCAGGCCCCAGGCTACTCAACTTCCCAAATTTAAACTTCTTTCTAGATGGACGCTGAATTTGTTGGTAAGGGAGTGGGCTCTATGGAGTGGTCTGTGCCCATCTGGGACTCTTTTTCCCCAAATCCTGCTCCAAATATGTCAGGAGGCAGGGTGCACAGCATTAGTTTCAGTGCGGTTATTAAGCTTAACATCAGAATGAAAATGAAACTATCAATTTTGATGTTTCTTTATAACCCTTCCCCGTCCAATCCACTTGCCCACCCCCCACCTTGAATAGCTAAAGTCTCCTATGAAACAGATATGAGTTGATGTCTAACTCCTTCCATTAAATTAATAAGTACTGACCTCCTAATATTTAAGTTTACTATCTATTGCTGTAAAGTTTTGTATATTTTGTAAACTTTTTCCCCAAATAGTAGATGTCTAAAATCGTTGTACATCTGATTCTTTTATATTCCATTGTTCAGCACAAAGTGTGGTTTTTATTTAGAATAAAAAAAGAAATTTGAAATGAGAGTTCTCTTCCTGTCTACTATCATATGCACATACCTGGAGTTGAGAATACCTGGGCTCATCACCCTTTCAGTAGCGCATTTCTGCCCAGCAGATGCCACAATTCTCTCAGGTAGCACATTTTCTTTCCTATAGCTGGAATTCCCCAGGATGAACTTGCTGACCCGTTTTTAGTGGGAAATTAAGTCAGACTCAACCTTTACAGGGGGTGTCCCTGAGAGGATCCTCCATCAGCCCAGAGACAGTGGTGGGTCTCTGCCTATGTCTAGTTGGACTAATTTTACCAAGCGAGAGATTTGGCTACAACTTACCTTGCCAGTGTCATTTAATTTGCTGGGACATCATGTTTCTTTGAGCGGAGCAAGTCAGATTCAAACAGGGAGGAGGCAAAAGTTTGGCGTAGTTTAATGAGGTTGATACACAGGTATTTCCACAGAGGAGACAGACCTCAAGAAGTCAGGGAGTGATGTCCATTTGGTCCCAGAGCACATGGCCCAGGTGGGGCACCCATCGATGCTGAGCATAACAGCTGGTTCCCACTCTTCCCCTCCATGGATGGGAGGCCTTAGGGAAGTATTCATACTGCCAGGGTGATAACTAATCTTGGGGGAGTGGCCTCTGAGGTGACCTGGAATGTGATAGATACAAAATTTGGTTTCCCTTGGGAAACTCCTGTAGCCCAAGTCAGAGGATGCAGTGATATGTGCATCAGATCTTGGCTTGCTTTTTTATGTTGGGACAAGGGAAGAAAGTCTTTTCAATGTGAATTCTGTGTTGGTAGGTTAAGCCCTTACTGTGACCCAACCCACAAGCCAGACTCCTGGTTCAAAAAGCCTTCAGCTCTGTGCTACTGAGCAGCTGTCTGCAGTGTAAGACCCTTTCAGGTTTGGGCCCAGTGAGGAGGGGGATGGATGATAGATGCAGGTTTCCGTCCATGCTCCTGGTAAACCGGGGTGTGTATGCAATTGGAGCACACGGTCAGTGCATCCGCACAACAGGTTCTGATTTATCAAAGCAGAACAGGTGGTCTCGGGGTCAGTGAGTAGTTACTCCAAGTTAAATATTCCGGACACATCAAGCGCTTGAGCAGGACAGAGGAGATGGTGAAGAGGCTATCAGTGATTCCATCCAGTCCCTTCACCACAGGCAGGATTAAGAGGCAAAGGACGTGGACTTGGAGGGTGGAAACTAGATCCCGTTCTTAGGCCTTCACCTCAGAGTTCTTCATGGACAGGGTCCCGGTCTCCCAAATGTAAGTGATCCTTTTCCAGAAGGCCTACTTGTTAACAGAGGACTTGTTTCATCCATAGAACAAATGTGAAGGAACATAAGTTGTGGGACAGGAAAATTATGAAAAGATGTGGCCAGGGAAAACTGACTTATAACAGCGTCAGCACTCTGCCCTGTGACGGAATGAGATGTGGCCTTACCCATCTGTGCCAGGGACAGAGGGTGAAGGACAGAGCATCTGTCAGCACCTGCTGCTGGCCGTCCCAAGGGCTGCTCCCAGAATGACATCCCTTGATACTTTCCTATTATCTGGAAAGAAAGAGATGGGGTGGGTTAGGCTTTCTGGTAGCTCTGTGTCTCCCCAGAAGTCTGGAAGTGTCCTAGACCTGAAGCCAGGAGGAGGTCAGCTCTGAGCAGCTGGCTCTGGGACAGCTCCTCTGCTTGTGGGAAGGGAGCAGGATGGACAACAGGGAGGGGAGGGTGTCAGCAAGGAAATGAAGCTGTGTTTCCTGGATGGCGGTGGGTGGAGATACTATCCTGCTGACCCAGTTGCAGGGTGCAGGTCTCAGACCTTGGCTTCGCCCCACCCCTGCCGTCCCCATCCCCTTCACTTATCATAGTTGTGCATAGGATGCACAGCTAGGGAACGTCCTGCTGGAGCCGCCTGGTTCCTTGGCCTCTGGCCTCTTGTCCCCATAACCTGCATAGTGAACTAGAAAATCAACAAGCCTACAAATACAAAAGGAGATTTGTGAGGTTCCTGCGGAGCTCACTTTTTCCGGCCAGAGTGATTTATGAAATGAATGTGTCTAGTTTCCTCTGCCGAGCACCTCTTTAGCCTCGGCTCCCTTCCCAATCCCAGCTGGAAGTACAGATTTTTAAAAGATCCAGAGTCCATGGCTGTCTCTCCCATTTATTTCACCTTTTTTTCCTGCATGTCTCCCTTAGACACAAGGACGGAGACAAATAGTACAACACTGAGGGCCTGCTCTATCCCTCCCCATCCCGTCTCCCTCTCCCCACCTCAGTATTTTAAGATAGGCTCAAAATTGAACATGAATCCTCTGACTCTCCCGCTGCATCCCCCCCCAAATCTCCCACCTACACTCTCACCTGTGCCATTTCCTTCACTGTTGGAAGAGCCTGGCCTCTACTTCAGCTGGATGTAAGAGGTTGAGGGGGAGTGATGGGGGAAGTATTTGGAAGCAAAGGGGGTGCCTGAAAGCTCAGGCTTGGCTCAGACAGACAGCCTACTGCAGCGGGCTGGCTGTCCACCTTGGTGATGACAATGGAATGCTGGGTGGAAGAGGAGGCCGGTGTGCCTGCCCTGGCCGGGTCCTTAGGCAGGTAATGGACTATGGTGTTCAGGAGCCGGTCCCGGAAGCGCGGGCTAAGAAAGTTGTAAAGGATGGGGTTGATGACACAGTGCAGCATGGAGAAGCAGTCGATGACCTCATAGAAGAAGTAGAGCAGGTGGACCAGGTGGCAGTGGAGGGAGATGTGGGTCCAATGCAGTGTGAGCAGCAGCAGGGTCACATGGTAGGGCAGCCAGCAAATAACAAAGACGGCCACGTAGGCACACATCAGCAGGCAGTGGCGCCGGCTCTCAGGCTGTCCTGGCTGCCGCAGCCGGCAGGCCATCAGCACATTGAAGACTGCAATGAGAGGGAGGGGCAGCAGGAAACCCAGGATGGTGGTAGACAGGGTCACCGCCAGGGCCCAGGTGCTATACGTTTCAAAAGGTGCCACAAAGAGGCACACGGGCTCGGGGCCCTCTACCAACTGGATGTGGACCACCTCAGGCAGCGGGATGATGGCAGAGAGGACCCAGACGCCGGCACACACGGCCCTCCGCACCTGGTGCTGGTGACGCTGCCAGGAGGGGGAGGCGCTGGTGAGGGTGGCGTAGCGATCGATGCTGAGGCACACCAGGAAGAAGATGCTGCTATACATGTTGGCGAAGTAGAAGTAGTGAGTGAAGCGACAGAAGAAGCTGCCCCAGAGCCAGGTGTAGTCCAGCATGACCTCCAGCATCCACACGGGCAGAGACAGGACGACGCCCAGGTCCGCTATGGCCATGTTGAGGATGTAGAGGTTCAGCAGCCCCGCCCGGCCTGAACTGTGCCAGTTGACGCATATCACCAGGAGGTTCTCCACCAGCCCAACCACAAACATGGCCAGGTAGAGGACAAAGAGGACCGCACGCTTGGTGCTCTCGCTGAGCTCCACGTGGCACTCAGACAAAGTGTGGTTGAAGAGGTCGAGCAGCTCAGTCCAGTTGTGGATCTCTCCAAGGTCACTGGCAGGCACTGCGGTGACCCCCTCCCAGGGGCCAGGCCCCCAGCTGGGTTTCACTGACATTGGGACCAGCACACAAGGATGAAGGCAGGGTTGGAAGGGAAAGCAGACCTCGAGAGCCTTGTGTCTTCAAGGTAGAGGCCAGAGGGAGTCACCTGCTTTGGGGAAAGATTCCAGGGCTGATGAGGCAAGAAAGGGAAGTTTAGCTTTCGAACTGTGATTAAATAAATAATACGCAACTCGCTAGCTCTGACCCAACAGCAGAGATAGTTTCTTAAGGGGTTTCAGTGCTGGAACAGGCCAGGACTGTTGGTGTCTACCAGTTCTTCTCATCCCCAGCCAGTCCCCCTCAGCAGCACCTCACCCCCGACCCCCACCATTCCTAGGTGGTCTCCAGTCTCCCCCTCTCTCCTGGCACCTCATTCCTCGGCCTTTTTGCACGGGTCTTCATTGCACTTTTTCTGTCTTGTTATTTGGACTGTGAGTATGGAACACCCACACACCCCAACGCATCTGATTCACCCCAGGAAAACCTGTGGATCATGCAGGAAAGCCAGCTGCCTCCAAAGTCCTGATTCTCATCTTCCCTGGGACAGGACGACACTCACCTGAATTTCCCTTGGGAGCCCCTAGGTCCTGGAGGGAGGACCGGCAGGTCCAGGCTGTGGGGAGCTGTGCGGAGGCTGGAGGGGCCGTGGCTGTGGGGCTGGCTTCCCTGCTGGCTTTAGGGCCGCCCTCCTCATCCGGGAAGCAGCTGTCACTGCTGAGGCTCTGTGGGGAGGGCTGGGGTTTTTCCTGCACTCCCCCAATCCGGTTACAGCGGACATCCCAGTAAAAGACCCTCTGTGCCAGTGGCGGGGAGGTCATACTGCCAGCATTAGAATCCCAACTCCTCCCTCACTCTCGGAATGAATTTACCTCTTTCCCTAGCCTTAGTGCTCTCCTCTGCAAAGTGGGGTCAGCAATATTATCTACTAAAAGGGAGATTGTGAGAATTAAAGGAGCCATTGAGGAAGGAAAAGTGCTTAGCTCAGGTCAGGCCTGTGGGAAATGCTTTACATATATGTGTATTTCCCACTCCCTAAGTCGGCTTGGAATCCTGCTCTCCCCTGTCTTGATTCCCACTAGAGTGAAACTGGATACAGGGGTGTAGGGAAGAGCTAAAATACATCTGAAAATCAGTTGGGCTTTTAATGGCTCTGGCCTGCCCCTACCATTCTCCCCAGCCTCTCACAGGGCTGTGAGCTCCCTGCCTTCATCTTGTGACTGGAGGTGAGAATCTGGGGAGAGAGAAAAGACTGAATGGCTGCACTTGGTGGGTCACGCCCGTAACCCAGCACTTTGGAGGGCCAAGGCGGGTGGATCACTTGAGGTCAGGAGTGTGAGATCAGCCTGGCCAACATAGTGAAACCCTGTCTCTACTAAAAATACAAAAATTAGCTGGGTGTGGTGATGTGTGTCTGTAATCCCATCTACTCGGGAGGCTGAGGCAGGAGAATCACTTGAACCCAGGAGGCGGAGGTTGCAGTGAGCCGAGATCAGTCCACTGCACTCCAGCCTGGGTGACAGAGCGAGACTCTGTCTCAATTAAAAAAAAAAAAAGATTGCATGTGGGGTGTCAAGGGGACTTTGTCAAAGCTTCAGGGAGACTACTGAATGGGCAGGGAGAGTGAGAACAGCACCCTCCCCGCTGTCCCCGCCCCGTGGCTTTATACTTCTCTGCGTGAAGGGTGTGGTGTGTGACTGGCAGAGATTGCCCAGGAGATGGGGCATGGGGGAGGGAGGGCAGACTTTTCTTCCCTCCAAGCTAGAGGGTAAGGGACTCTGAGCCGTGTGTTATGGGTCAACATCTTGTGTCTGCAGAGCTTCCTGCCTCTCAGAGTGCTTTCACCTCACTTCATCTCATTTGATTCTGGAGATACTCAGGTGGAGAGGATTGTGCCGCCACCACGTCTGTCTAGGTGCTAAACATCTTCATTACTCCAAAAGAAAACCCCATAACCATTAAGCAGTCGATCCTATTCCCCCTACCCCCAACTTTCTGCTTCCTGTCTCTATGGATTTACCTATTCTGGATATTTAATAGAAAGGGAACCGTATGACATGTGACCTTCTGGGTCTGTGTGTCTTTTTCATTTAGTATGTTTTCAAGGTTCATTCACATTGGAACATGCATCCGTACTTCATTTCCTTTCATGGCTGAGTAATGTTCCATGATGTATGTGTGTACATATATACACACACCACATTTTGTTTATCCACTCAAAAAGAATATTTTTTATTTTTAAATTTTTTAATTATTTTCTTAAAGACAGGGTTTCACCATGTTGGTCAGGCTGCTCTTGAACTCCTGACCTCAGGTGATCCGCCCACCTTGGCCTCCAAAGTGCTTGGATTACATGCGTGAGCCACCGCCCCCAGCCAAAAAGAACACTTTTTAAAAGTCTCCTAATTGATTCTTTTATTATGGTAAAATATACATAAAATTTACCATGTTAACCATTTTTGGGTGTGCAGTTCAGCAGCACTGAATGCATTCACACTGCTGTGCAACCATCAGCACCATTTATCTCCGTAGGAGGGGATATTTTTAACTTTGTGGTTTTCTTAAACCTTCCACTTACATATCAGATCACTCCGAGATCACAAAATCTATCATGGCCAGCGCAGTGGCTCATACCTGTAATCTCAGTGCTTTGCGAGGCTGAGGTGGGAAGACTGCTTGGGCGCAGGAGTTTGAGACAAGCCTGTGCAACAAGATGAGACCTCCACCTCTACGAAAAAATAAAATAATAACTAGGGCCGGGCACGGTGGCTCAAGCCTGTAATCCCAGCACTTTGGGAGGCTGAGGTGGGTGGATCACAAGGTCAAGAGATCGAGACCATCCTGGTCAACATGGTGAAACCCCGTCTCTACTAAAACTACAAAAAATTAGCTGGGCATGGTGGCACATGTCTGTAGTCCCAGCTACTCAGGAGGCTGAGGCAGGAGAATTGCCTGAACCCAGGAGGCGGAGGTTGTGGTGAGCCGAGATCACGCCATTGCACTCCAGCCTGGGCAACAAAAGTGAAACTCTGTCTCAAAAAAAAAATAATAATAATAACTAGGTGTGGTGGTGCAGCCTGTACTTGGGAGGCTGAGGTGGAGGGATCACTTGAGGCAAGGAATTCAAGGCTGCAGTGAGCTATGATCACACCGCTGCAATGAAGCCTGGGCGAGAGAGATAGATCCCATCTCTTAAAAAAAATACAATCCTTGGCTAGGTGAGTGGCTCATACCTGTAATCCTAGCATTTTGGGAGGTTGAGGTGGGCGTATCACCTGAGGTTAGGAATTTGAGACCAGCCTGGCCAACATGGCGAAATCTTGTCTCTACTAAAAATGCAAAAATTAGCCAGGTGTGGTGGTGTGTGCCTGTAATCTCAGCTACCCAGTAGGCTTAGGTGGGAGGACATCTTGAACCAGGGAGGTGGAGGTTGCAGTGAGCTGAGATCACACCACTGCACTCCAGGCTGGGTGACAGAGTGAGACTCTGTTTCAAAAAACGACAAAACAAAACCAAAAAACATCATGATGAACCATGACAGTGTGAAATGTGGTTTACTTTGATTTTTCAGTTAGTTTTGCTCTCTCATTCTCTCTCTTTGGGATCTTAGTTTCTATGCCATTAATATTTTTCTCCAGTAAGGAGACTTCTGAGAATTTGCCCTTCCCACTACATGCTTTTGACCCATGCATATGAAGCCTGTCCTAGACCACCCTCCAAGGAAGACCCTGGTCTGGTCTTTGTCCTCTCCAGATGGCCACATCTGTGTCCATTTCTGTTTCTCACAAGACTGCCCTTTAGTGGCTCCTATCTCCTGGGTCTCTGAATTGTCCTCCCAGATGGAGACATCCCCCTGCAGCCTCACTTCTACCTGCTCCCTGTTCCCACCTACTTCTGTCACCCAATGTATATTTGTAGAAAGAGGAAGTGATGGTGGTTCCTTCTGGCAGAGGCTTAGAGGGAAAGTTACTCCCTCAGGAAGAAGAAAGTGATAGCTCTACAGTTTCCATGTGGGGCTTTTTTAGGGGGTGGGGGGGTGCAGCTAGAAAGAGAGAAACTGGGAGGAAGAGAAAGACGGAGGAGCAGGAGGCCAGGCTCCTTGCCAATCTGGGCAAAAGGAGCAAGCCAGCAGCTTTGCTATGTGCAGCAGGAACACCAGCAGTGAAACAATTCCTGGAAATTTACTCATTCTCCTCTCCGCCCCATTTTTTTGCCCCCAAAAGTGTAAACAAGACTTTGTGATCAACAATCAGAAAGGAAGGAAGGTACCAGGGAGGAGGTATTGAGAGACAGAGATAAAGGCAGACGACTTCCCAGGGTTGGGTCAGGCAAAGGGCTTCGCCTGGACCTTGGCAGAAGGGGTGAGGCAGGCTGCCCCAGGGATCCACCCACGTCCCTGGCTAATGGAATGGAGGCAGGTGCCTTGTGGACAGGTTAAGGCTGAAGGATTTGGCAGTGATTGCACTCACATCCACAGTGTGAACTCCCAGAAGGTCACTGAGTTAGGAAGCCAAGTCTAGTCATGGAGGCTGCTCTGCCCTCCTGCCACGGCTTCCACAAGCTAGAGAGGCAGCTAGAGGGGCATCTGGTCAGCCTAGCAGTACCAGATTAGGACCTTCCCAGGTTCCTCAAAGCCTGTGGCCCACTCCCCTGTCCTGGCTCTGTCTGCTCAGCTCTTCCTTATTCACCGGCCCTTCATAACACACCGTGGAGATAACGCCAGCTTTTGAATCAGACCTGTTTTTGAAACTTTTTTCCACCATTTGGTAGCTGTGTGATCTTGGGCAGGTCACTTAACCTTTCTGAATCTCAGTTTCTTATATTTTGTTTTAAAATATTTAATTGTACAGGTTTATGGAGTATATGTGCAGTTTTCTTACATGCATGGATTGCATGTTGGTCAAGCCAAGGCTTTTACGGTATCCATCACAAGAATAACATGCATTGTACCCATTGACTAGTTTCTCATAATCCACTCCCCTCATTCTCTCTTCCTTCCATGTTTTCACTGTTTACCATTTCACTCTCTACATCCATCTGTACACCTCTTTTAGCACTCACATATGAGTGACAACATGCGATATTTGATTTTCTGTGGCTCGCTTGTTTTACTTAAAATAATGACCTCCAGTTCTGTCCACATTGCTGCAAAAGACACTATGTCATTCTTTTTTATGGCCAAACAGTGTTCTACTCTGTATATATACACCACATTTTCTTTATCCATTTATTCATTGATGGACACTTGGGCTGATTCCATGTCTTTGCTATTGGGAATAGTGCTGTGATAAACACACTAGCGCAGGTGCCTTCTTAATGTACTGATTTTCACTTTGCGTAAATACCCAGCAGTGGAATTGCTGGGCCAAATGGCAGGTCTCAAAAACTTTTAGTTTTTTGAGAAATCACCATACTGTTTTCCATAGAAGTTGTACTCGTTCTAAGAGTTCTCTTTGCTCCACATCCTTGCTAACATTTGTTATTTAAAAAAATCTTTTTGATAATAGCCATTCTGACTGAAATAAGGTGACATCTCATAGTCGTCTTTATTTGCATTTCTCTGATGAGCATTTTTTTTCATATAACTGTTGGCCATTTGCATGTCTTCTTTTGAAAAATGTCTATTCATATCATTTGCCCACATTTTAGTAGGATTATTTGTGGGGTTTTTTATTTGCTTGAGTTCTTTGTATATTCTGGACATGTCAGATAAATAGTTTGCAAATGTTTTCTCCAATTCTGCGGGTTGTTCATTCTGTTGCTTATTTCTTTTGTTGTGCAGAGCTTTTTAGTTTGATTAAGT